AAAGAACTCAATTTTCTCTGCGTAGCTGACATGCAGCTTGAGCACTCTTGAGGTCCCTTTATAGCTGCGACTCTCTCAGTAACAAAACCTTTAAATCACGATCAGGCACATCGATTTGGGTTGGGGAGCAGGGAATCACTTCTGTGGGAAAGGGAATAAGACCTCTGGGGGTGTCATTTTCCTCCTGGTGAGATGACAGTGGAGGTAAAAATGTTCCCTGGGATTTTTCCCCCCATCTTCCAACCCTTGTAAACAAATAAGAAAGAAAAATAAGCTTGTGGTCCTCTGTGGACTCTGGCAGTCCTTTAAAAATGTTCTATCAGTTTTGTAGCAGCAAAGAGAGAGCTGCTGGTACCTTTGAGGTCCCTGGCACAGCTTACAACCTCTTGTCTATTGTCTTTGGAAAAAAGTACATGTCAAGTTTGTCATATGTCTCATACTATGTGGCTTTCATATATAAGTATCACTTTTCATTATTTACCATTAACTAAAACCGATGAACTGTAAGAGTTTCCATGCTCATCCTGGGGCTTCAATTACTCCCTGGCAAGCTGCTCAGACCCTGGGGAGTCCTTGTTAGAGGCTGAGAATGGGAACACGGCAAGGACTTATGGAGGCTGGCATATGTTCCATTGTGGAAGCCTGAGTGCCCGACCAGACCATAAAGAATACCCTCCCCGCCTCCAGACCAAATGAGAGACTTCAGTTTCCTCCTGTGAATCCGAGTATCTCGTTCAAAACCACAACAAGATATCACCTCCCCCCCCCCCCCATCGGGAGAAATGTGCTCAAAAGAATAGAAATGATCGTTGTGGGTGGGTCCGTGGAGATGTCGCAAACCTTAAGCACCGCTGTTGGGATTGTAAAATGATGCTTCCACTATGAAAAGGCATCTGGAGGGCCTCCAAAAGCCCCAAACAGAATCATCACCAAATTCAGCGATTCCAGCCTCTGGATCTCAGTCTGAAAGATTGCAAAGCAGCATCTCAGATATTTTTGCACCTGTATTCATTGTAGCATTATTTACAGTAGCCAAGAACCGAAAGTGACCTAAATGTCCATAAGAATGAAGGTGTCCACACAATGGACTATTATGTAGTCTTTTTAAAAAATTTTTTTAGACTTCTTAAAAAAGATGGAAATCCTGTCAGATGTGATGACAAAGATGAACCTACAAGCATTAAGTAATAGATTCCAGTAGTGAAAGAACATAGAACAGATGGTTTCATTCACCTAAGTATCTAAGGGAGTCAAATGATGCAAACAAAAAGTAGATAGTGGTCAAGAACAGGTAAAGTTTGGGGCAGGGAAAGTGAGGGTACAGAGCATCTGTACTATAAGATGAAGACTTCCGGGGCAAATACTGTTGCCCAACTACTGAACTCTCTCTGCACTTAAGATGATTAAGCTGGTAAGTTAATTTTATTTTTTTTAATTGAATCACCATGAGATACACAATTACAAAGTTGTTTATGATTGGGTTTCAGTCGTATAACGTTCCAACATCTGTCCCTTCACCAGTGTACATTCCTCACCATCAGTGACCCAATTTCCCTCCCACCAGCCCCAACCTTCACCCTGAGTCTATAGCAGGCTCTCTCCTTTCTCTGTCTTTTCTTTGGGGCATTATAATTTGCAATACAGCTTCTGAAAGGTTATCATGTATATCCCTTTACCTTTCTGAGCTGGTAAATTTAAGTTGCATGGTTTTTTATTTATTTGTTTGTGTTTACCACAAGAAGTAAATAGAAAGTTCCTGTTGACAGGTAGGGTTCCTTTCGGATTTGGTTTGGGGGCCACACCCTGCAGTGCTCAGGGCTTACTCCTGGCAGTGCTCAGGGGAATATTTGGAACAACCAATCTAACCAACCAAGGTTAGACATGAGCAAGACAAGCACCTTCCCTGTACTATGTCTGCAGCCTACTAGGGCTTGCTTGGAGGAACAGGCTGAGACCTCATCCAATAAACGTCCAGGTGGTGTTTCCTCATACCTGTTGTTCCCTACTTCTATTCCAGTGAAGCCAGGGGATATGATCCTCACCTTATGAGTGTTGCTGCCAGCCCCAAAGGTTCAGACATCTGTATGAACTAGGTCAGTGGATTGGTTAATGAACTGTAGAAAAAGGGTTGCCAATTTTGGCTTTGTACTTTTCCCTTTCCAATTTCTTTATTTGTGTTGATTAAATTTGAATCACTAGAAAAATACTAGAATGAGTAAAAATAAATGTAGGATCAGAGCAATAGTACAGTGCATAGGGTACTTGCCAACCCAGGTTTGCTCCCCTACATCATGTATGATTCTCTGCTAGGAGTGATCCCTAAGCCTGTACAGATAGAGCCAGGAGTAAGCCCTGTGCGCCATGGGCCGTGACCTCCCACAAAAGAAACAATCTGATCTTGCAAGATTTTCTCCTGGGTGGTGTAAATGTCCTCTTTAGGAGATAAATGGATGTGAAGGCATACTCATGTGTGTGTGTGTGTGCGTGCGCACACACACACACACACACACACACACACACACACACTACTTGCATTCAGTCTCATAGCCCTTATCACCACCCAGTCTCAGCCCACTGCAAACACGATGAATTCACATCCTGAGGTGAGGGGTGTACCACCAACAAAATCTGACCGGAGGAAACAATTTCAATTCAATCAGAGGCCTCCCGCGGTTGAAGTTTACAAGGAGTGCTGCCAAATCCCACTCTCTTGGCGGACAAACTGTGCAGACTTCGGAGCCTGTCGGGAGGGTGAGGTGAGTTTCTTACTTTGAAAAGAGGGTCGATCCAAGATGTTTGTATTCTTTCAATACTGTTTTCCTGAGGGGAGGTGGGGGGGAGGGGGACGGATTGTGGGGTAGGGGTGGGAAGTTCTTTCCTTGTTCCTGATATTTTCCAGAGATCAAAATTAAAATACAATGCACCAGGACTAATCAGCAAGATTTCAGAAGAATTGCATGTACTTTTGATTTCTATAAAAACCCACATGACACTGCTTTAACCTGTAATTATGTGCCGAGGTTCATAGCTGCACAGATATCAGACTTCCTAATCCTTCCGCATATTTAGTGGGTATTTGGGACGAGCGTCAACGCCAATAATAATTTCCTTTGCCCCTTTCCCCATTTGGTTCTCTACCGGTCCCAGTCCTGAGGAATTAACAAAAGTCAACTCCTGCTCATGGAAGTTCCTGGGTCAGACATACAGCTGAGAGGCACATCCACGGATAGGACATTTCCATATTTATGTGTCCTTTCCATATTTATGTATCCTTTCACTTCTTCACAGAGCAAGTACCAATGTCCGCTTTGGCCCAGGCACTGCCTCGGAACAGGAATCCAATCCGTCAGAAAACAGCCTCCAGTCTAGACAGAGAGAAGCGGATGCAGAGAATGACAACCCAAGGTGGTTATGTTGAGGTGGTGGGTGTGCGGGGTCCCTAGGTAGCAAGGAACAGAGCGCCACTCCAAGACCGTCCAGGAGGACAATAAGAATCCGGGGAAAGGAGAGCAGCTACCCCTGTCGGCCTTGGGGAGTTAGAATATGCAGGTGAAGAGCAGGATCCTGAAGAGCTACATGGACAGGTGCGACAATGGTGTTCCTCCCTGCTTCTCTCTCTTCTGCTCTATCATCTCCCCATATGACGAGTGTCTTTCTTTACTTCAAGGCTCTGACTTACTCACCGAGGCTGCTTCCGAACCATCTCCACTATCTGCCTCCGGAGACAGGATTACCCAAACTCTCTGTGTCTTCCTGCTTCTTTGCCCAATATCGAATGCCTACTCTGCAGCTCCGAATGACGGGGTAGTTCAGGCTAATACAGGCATCTCTCTGTGGGTCTGGGCAGACAGCACACAGCCCACCTGGGTTCTATCCCTAGAACTCCACATGGTCTCAAGGAGTGATTCTGAGTGCAGAGCCAGGAGGAACCTCTGAGCATCTCCAGTTATGACCTTAAAACAAAAGGAAATAATTTCTTTTTTGGGGGGGTCATACCCAGCGATGCACAGGGGTTACTCCTGGCTCTGTACTCAGGAATTACTCCTGGCGGTGCTCAGGGGACCATATGGGATGCTGGGAATCAAACCTGGGTCGGCCGCGTGCAAGGTAAATGCCCTACCCTCTGTGCTATTGCTCCAGCCCCCAAGAAAGTCATTTCTATGTGTGAGGCAAAACTCATTCCAGTCCACTTACAGATCACCTAAATTCTGAACCTCTTTGATTGCATATTTCCGGGATGTTGTTCCTTCACAGACAGCATTGGCATCCAGAGTAAGAAACTCTGGAGGGGCACATTTAGAGCAACTACGAGTGCTCCAGGACAGAAAATTTCAGGGTATTGTCATCAGCATAGAGAAATAATTGCTGAGCAAATAACCAGAAGTAAACCTTGAGAACTAAGGGATATAACCTAACCCCTCATCAGCCAAAAGATATAACCCCAAAGAAAGTAAAATGTCATATTATTCTTAATAATAGAAGAAAATGATTCAGTGTCTGACCATAAAATATTACACCAGTATATATACATATATAAAACATGATATGTGTATGTGTATTTGGTAAATATTCTGAATCAGGTTGAGGAAGTTTTCTTCACTTCATAGCTTCTTATGAGTTTCCTTTTATTATAAGCAGGTATTGAATATGTCAATTTTTCTATTTTAATTTAGATGATAATAATTGCTTTTTAAAAATATTTTGATATAATAAGTTCAATTTAGGGCTGGAGCGATAGCACAGTGGTAGGGCGTTTGCCTTGCGCACGGCTGGCATGGCCCAGCAAGGTTCGATTCCTCTACCCCTCTCGGAGAGCCTGGTAAGCTACCGAGAGTATCTCACCTGCACAGCAAAGCCTGGCAAACTCCCCACGACGTATTTGATATGCCAAACACAGTAACAAGAAGTCTCACAATGGAGATGTTACTGGACCTACTCGAGCAAGTCGATGAACAACGAGAGGACAGTGCTACAGAAGTTCAATTTATTTTCTTTTTTATCTTCTGTGCACTGGTCCTGGAAGGACTGCAACACTAAATCAATATATGGAATGGATGGAACAAACTCCTATTCCATATCTTAGCCCCCCAAATCCATTTAATATATTCTCCTCAGATAAAGGACATATCAAATGTTGAACTAATAAGAACAGATACTCTTCTTGATCTTAGCCAACAGGTGGAGAAGCGATGCTGATCTGTTTGTGGTTTGTTTTTTGTGTATTTTTTTGGGGGGGGTGGTCATACCCAGCAATGTTCAGGGATTACTCCTGGATCTGCACTCAGGAATTACTCCTGGCAGTGCTCTAGGGACTATATGGGATGCTGGGAATCAAACCTGGGTTGGCTGCATGCCAGGCAAATACTCTACCTGCTGTACTATTACTCCAGCCCTTTTCCTGATTTTCAAATGTCCAATTAACGGGCATTCCTAAGAAAACTTTCTACCTGGTCATGATGTATTTTTATTTTAATATATTAATAGATTCAGTTGGTTAACACTTGTGAAGCGGGCCTTGGGCCAACATGGTGATGCTTTGGGGTTACTAATGATTATACATTCAGTAATCATTCCTGGCAATACTCAGGAGACCATATAGGATGCCAAGGATCTAGGCCCTGTGCAAGGCAAGTGCTTGGCTGTCATTTTCATCCACTTCAAACTATTTTTTAAATTCTCATACATTTTGGAGAGGGGTAGAACTGTAAGATATCTATGAGTATGCTGATAATTTTCTAAATATTTGGTTTTATATATTTTTTTACTGTAGGTTTATAATTTATTTCCATTTTTGTCAGAAAATTCTTTTGTTGATGTGTTCATTGCAGCTCTATTTCTCTTTTAAAATGATTTTCCTTCATTTTTTCCCTTTTCTCTCTGGACTGATTTGTTTAGCCTTAGTTCATGGTTGATATATAGACTGCCACAATCTTTCCTCTGCATGACCTATCAGTTCTAGGGCCCAGCTTATCAAGAGAGTGTCTGATTGGATCAACTCAGCTCAAATTCAATCAGCTGTAGTCAGGGCAGCTGGTGGCACATAGATAAAATTAACTCTGATCTATCCATTAGCAGAACTGTAAATAAAAACAGCTTCAGGGAAAGATGGCATGGGGACTGGAAAGTGCCCCCAAATTTCTAGAGCATCTAACAGTAATATTTGTCAGATTTAATATCAATGGGCCAAAAGAAAAAGACCAAGAATCAAATTGTAACTCATATCTTCATGGAATATTGCTCTTTCAAGGGTTGCTTTGATGGCTAAGTATGATTCTCATATTGATACAAGTAGTGGTATTTATAGTCAAAGAGCCAACATAGTACAACCTGCAGAATTCATTCTCTTGGAAGTTTGAGGGCCCCCAAACAAAACAAAACAAAACAAAACAAAACAAAACAAAACAAAACAAAACAAAAAGAACTCCCCTGGGGAAAGAAAGATGGTGGCCGCATGGGAGCCTTGTGGAGAGCAGGTATGAGCGGGGGGTGTGGGGGCGACTAAAACCTCATGGGAAGGGGGGCGTTCTGTCCCGTTCCTCACGCCCTACTGAGGTCATCAGTTGCCCCCCACGAGCGGCTCTCCAGCACGGCCACGGCCCCAGAAACACAAGGACTTAATGCAGAACCCAGCAGCTTGGAGCAGAAAAGTTAACAGACTATGCGTTAATCCATGCCACCATGTCTGCCCGGAGGGGAAAGGGTGTTGCTCCCCTCCACCCTCTCCCCTCTGGAAAGAAAGATGGTGGCCTCATGGGAGCCTTGTGGAGAGCAGGTATGAGCCGGGGGTGGGGGCGCGACTGAAACCTCATGGGACAGGGGGGTCGCTCCAGCCTGTCCTTCACGCCCTACTGAGGTCACCAGTTGCCCCCCATGAGCGGCTCTCCGGCACGGCCACGATTCCAGAGCACAGAAACCAATCTCTTAATTATCTGACGTTCAGTAGAAATACTTCCAGGGTTAATAAGTAAAATAGCAGAAATCCAAAACGGCGTGGCTGCTATCACAGCTGCGCGACAACATTTAATTCTTGAACCCAGCTGTAGAAAGCAAATCATTTCACAACGCTTTTTCAGCATGTCTGATTTTTGGGGGGTGGGGGGTAAACTCTAAATAATAATGGTGCATCTTTTATCGAAACAATGAATCTAGTCAAAGTAGATAGAGTGTTAACTAGAATTCATCTGCCTCACAGGCATTGGGAGGGGTGGGAGGTGGGGTTTTATCGGGGTTCTTCGTGGTAAAAAATAAGTATTGGTAAAGGGAAATGTGTTTGATATTTGCATGACTGAGACCTAAACCTGAAAGCTTTGTACCTTTTCCCACCGTGATTCAATAAATAAATAAATTATTAAAAAAGATGAATTAATATGTCAAATAAAGGAAGCAATTTTGCAAGGTTACTTTAAAAAAAAAAGAACTCTCCTAAAGAACAAAAGGGAATGCCCTGCTACAGAGGCAGGGTGGGATGGGGATGATGGGGGTGGGAGGGATACTGGGACCCGTGGTGGTGGAAAATGGGCACTGGTGGAGGGATGAGTATTTGATCATTGTATAATTGAAACCCAAGCACAAAAATTTGTAAGTCTACAACTGTACCTCATGGTGTTTCACTAATAAAAATTTAAAAAAACAAAAAGAACTCTACTGGCAGAGCAGGTGACAACAGACCTGCATTGAAAGGGAAGTTTAGGCAAAGAGTTGAAAGGTTATGGACTATCCAGGCAGAGGTCATGCGTAGGGAACCGGAAATAAGTGTGCAGGGCCAAGTTTAGGAGTTTAGGAAGTTGGGTCTAGGAGTTATTTATATACTTCCTGTAGTTGGTAGCCATGAAATCCCAATTGGAGAAACATAATAATGATGTATTTGAAATTCACAGACTCTGCAGCATAAACCAGATGCTGTGGCATGGAATTAGGAAAACTCTTTTTTTGGGGGGGTAGATGTGTCTCAAAGTTTAAATGTGACTGTTGGGGCTGGAGCGATAGCACAGCGGGTAGGGTGTTTACCTTGCACGCAGCCAACCCGGGTTCGATTTCCAGCATCCCATATGGTCTCCTGAGCACCACCAGGAGTAATTCCTGAGTGCAGAGCCAGGAGTAACCCCTGAGCATCGCTGGGTGTGACCCAAAAAGCAAATAAATAAATAAATAAATAAATGTGACTGTTGCTTGTGAACTTGCTTGGAAGGTGATGCTGAAATGAGGGCCAACTCTCTGGTGAGAGATTTGGGTTCAGTTTGTGTTTCTCATATACTCTTCCACTTGGAAGACAGGAACACTTCAGTCTTGGTCCTTTTGCAGTCGAGACAGCGGCCCCTAGTTAGTTGGAAGTGTGAAGGGCGTGTTAGGGCCTATGAGTTGTAAGCATGGGGGTGACAGACAAGCAGGATATGGGGATGGGAGGACTTGGTGCTAATTTCTCACCTCTCCTGGGGAGGTTAATACCAGGAATCTTCCTCTACATTCCTGGCTGTTCCCAGCAGGCACCAGCCTCCCTGCAAAAAGGCTAGAGCTCTCTTTGTCAGGGGCATCGGGCTGACCTAGAGATACTCAGAGATAAGAAATTGGCGGGTTCTGCCACAACCTCCTGACCCCCTTCTAGGAACCGCTGCGAAAATAAAACGACAGTGCTTTTATTTCTCAGGGTCCCTGAGGCTTGTAACTTTCATAATAACCATACTATTTGTGTTTATCAGTATACTCAGGCTGAGAGCATTCCCTACTATTCCCTAACTCTCCCCACTTGTTGCTGTCACGGCCCACTGACTGTTCAAGTTAACAACTTTCTCTGAAACCCCCTCTGGAAAACCCAGGGGGTTTTGTTAGCTGGTTACCCTGGATGTGTTTTTCAGCAACTTCTCTGCACCCCGTTTTATCTGCGCCATTGCCTACTTCCGATTCCTGCCAGGCCTGAAACTTGGGGGAGGATGGTTCTGTGCTACAGATACCTCATTCATCAATGCCGTCTTCCAAATCTCCCTCCTCACATCTATTATCGCAGGCCTTGAATAATTGTTTTCATTTAGCTATTTAGGACATTACTCTGACCAGCAGGTTAAACCGAAGCATCTCTCTGACTCCCGTGCTGTCATGAACATACTTCTAGGTTAACTCAAAACAGCTGTTCCTCCTTCTCCTCCCCCGACCTCCCAATCCAAGCCTTTAGAAAAACTTCCCACACCCTAAAACTATGGGGAGAAAGCATTTTTTATAAGCAAGCATTCTGGAAGTATCAATATCTCCCACTTTCAATATGGAAGCTTCTTTCATTTTTTTTCCTGCTTTTTGGGTCACACCCGGCAATGCACAGGGGTTACTCCTGGCTTTGCGCTCAGGAATTACTTCTGGTGGTGCTCAGGGGACCATATGGGTTGCTGGGAATTGAACCCGGGTCGGCCACGTGCAAGGCAAATGCTCTACCCGCTGTGCTATCACTCCAGCCCCAGCTTCTTTCATTTTAATGGCTGTTTTCCCAACATACATGGTTTAGAATTTCCTTCAACGAGAAAATGAGCATGATTTAACTTTCCTTGATGTCTTAGCAAAAAGTTTTACGTTCTGCTGTAAAGCACTAAAACTCTCTGGCACTAGAACTCTCTGAGTCTCTGGGGACTGAGAGCCTAAGAAGACCTCAATTTCTATGATTACAAAGTGATTTTTAGGGACCAGAGCAATGATACAGTGCATAGGGTTCTTGTCTTGCATTTGGCCAGCCAAGTTTAATCTCCAGTATCCCATATGATCTGCTGAGCACCACCAGGAGTGATCCCTGAGCACAGAGCCAGGAGTAAGCCCTGAGCACTGCCAGATATGGCCTTATTCAAAAAATAAGTGTTTTTTTTTTTTTAAAAAAAACCTCATGTCTTGGGGAGGGGTGTGGGGGACTCCCAGTAAGTGATCAGGAGGCCTGCTATTCCATCCTGTTACTTGGATCAAACACCTGTCAGCACTTGTCAGGGGACCATATGCCACGCTGGGGCTTTCTGGGGTTGGTTGCATGCAGGGCAAACTCCTTCACCCCTGCTCTCTCTCTCTCTGGCCCTCCTTTTGTAAATATTAAAATACACTCTCTGTTTGCTTTTTGTCAGGTTATTACATATCGCTTCTGGTTGTCAATGTACCTACCTTCAGAAACGTTTTTGCCCTAATGTTTATGGTTTAGTGTTGGCAGAGAAGACCATCCTCAACGAA